AACCTGCCAACCAACCTGCCAACCAACCAACCAACCAACCAACCAACCAACGAACCAATCAACCCACCAACCAGCCAACAAACCGGCACACAGACAAAGAAACAAATCGCATCTGGGGCGCTGTAGCAAGCCAGCCCAGGGTTCGGCACTTAAAGAGCTTCAGGAACGCCCAGGGGCTCACAGTGTCAAGCCTCAGTCAGCTAAGGGAAACCCCAAAGTCAGCAGCTTTGACCATGTGGGAAGGGACCCTTTCACTTGGTTGACGTTGGAAGGGGAGCAAAAATACAAAATTTTAGCAGTTAAGTGAGGATTTCACAACAAGCAAAACTGTAAAATGTTTCCCAACAACCATGGACAAGGGCGAAAGTACCAAGTTGTTTCGGGTTGAGGCAGTGGTCCGTGAGCCTAGGGGACAAGCCGGACGCTAACAGGCGCACAGGTTGCCAACCAGCTCGGGACAAGGCATACTGTGGGCTCGGTGATTGCATTTTGGGTTTGGTGATTTCACCCAAACAGGGGTTCACTCCAATGGTTGTCAGGGGCCCCGAAAAGAGGGAAAAAATTGGCCCCCAACCGGAACCCCTTTTTAGCTTTAACTGGAATCCTACTGTGGATGGTTGCGACATCCATTTCGCACCACCCACGAAACCCTGGAATGAGTTGATCCCCCCCTGTCAATATCAACAAATAATGGTCTCAACCATGATTTCAATCTGGTGCAGGATTCCTTCCCTGCACCATATGATTATAGTGCAAGGGACTTGTCAAGGAAGAGTCTGTGACACCCGAGTTCTTCTTTTCTGTGGTTGTTTTTCAAGTTTGTTCGTTCTCCTTGCCCGATGTGCAGAACAAGGTTGTCTTTTTCTCACTTTCGTGGATCGACCGTCTGAAGCTTTACATTTACCACTCAAATGGCCTTCCCAAGGGGGTGAGTTTCCCATAGCTTTCTGGTCTTCCTTGCCCAACGTGCGGAACAAGGTCGCCAAGTACGAGTGCCGAGCAATGGAAGTGAACCTTGTGGCATTTCCAACCCCTGTCAGCTTCAGGTGTTGAGCGTAGGTGTCCATTTTGGAAACACGCCTGGCAAATGGTTCAACTAGTTAAATCTATCTCAACTGGCAAAAAAGGACACCGATTCTCTTGCTTCCAAACCGGCAAGGATGTCCGCATTGAGCATCTGACCGGAGCTCTTTCCTTAGCCCAGGATCTGATGAAAGGTGCATGGTTGGTACAAGCCATGCAGAAAGCCCACACATTTCGGCTTGGATTCCCTCCTAACGGGTTCCTCCGACTAGGGCACTCCAGACTTATCCGAAGTTAAGACTCGGCTGAACGCGAAAGGCACAATTCGTTCAATGTCAAAGGGAGGTGCTGAAACCTAAACGGGGGAATTGCGCCAAGGTTCACCCAAATGTTCCAAGGCTAAGTGCTGCTTTCAAGCGTCCGATTCTCTGGCGCCAGCGTCTCTGCTTGCTTTGTGTTGACATAGGCGGCGGTCGCAGCAAACATCTCGGGTGACTTGTTACTCTCTGCAAGCAGTTCAAAGGAACCCTCCATGGAGCACAACCTGACTGATGCAATTTCATGCACCCAACTTCTCTGCTTACTCTTCTTCAGCACATGTGCGGTGCGTTGGACTTCTTTTTTTTTGTGTTTGGGCATTTTGACCATTTCGGCCACATAGGGACCAAGAACACAAAGCACCGATGAGCCCTCCGCGATCAATCATGCCTTCCATACCACTTGTTGTCAGGTATTTAGCGCATGCCAAGATTGATTGGAGCCTAGAACGCACGGCCGGTGACAAATATACAACTTTTAGGCTCCAATCATATGCGGGTGCCCGAGCTACTATTTGTGCGCGTTGGGTATGAATTGGTTGCTCGGCTTTTCCAAAAGGAGAAAATTGGCCTAGAGTGTGGCGGAAACCCAAACTCTGGAAATTTCGACCTCGAACCTCTTTTTGCCCAACCAAAAAGTGAAATCAACTGCAGCCCACAAACCACAAAAGACGGGATGCTGGTTACAGCGGGGGGCCTGGGTGTTGAACTCCATGTTTCACTGGAAGCTCTGTTTGGTGGACTCCCGCCTCCGGCTTTTCACGCCTGTTTGGGGGGCCTCGACTCGAGGGTCTGGACCCCTTTTTCAGGGTACCATTCTCGAAAGAAAAACCCGAGGGCACGATGGCCCTGGAAAAGCGCGGTGCCCGATTCTACTGAGAGGGTACCTCATTTTTGGGCGTGGATTTCTTAGGGTCACCTTTAGCCCGCACAATCCAGAGGACACGACTCTCCAGAGTCCCGATACGAACAAGGGCTGCACCGCAACTCATATTTGCAGATTCTCCGTTATATCGACCAAACACATAAACTAGTTTCGAAGGGGTGCCGGGTTTAACCAACCTCCTTTCGGTTTGACCAGTTAAACCATGTCTTACAGAAAGGGAACATCAAATGTTCAGACTCTGCTTCATGTTCAATCCACCCGGAAATGGTTTAAAAACCAAAAACTCGTTTTTTGAAGCCAACATGAGTAAACACCCCGTTTTGAGGGTCCAATCTGTTTCAACCAAAAAGTGGTTCAGATCCAGAGATCCGTCACCAAGACATCGCCATATCAAGAAGAGTCTGCCTTTCTCGCTCGGGGACTTGCCTGGCGGGTACGCGGGCGAGCACCCAAGTCATACCTTCCGTTTGCTTAAGCCGCCTGGAAAACTAAGTATATATTTCCAGTAGTGATAGATTCCCTTTAAAGCCAAGGAGGGAAAATATAAAGTATTCTTAAGCAAATGGAAGATATATAAGGAGAGTTGTTGAAGCCTTGACCCAAAACTCTTTACTGCTTGGGTTACTCTTTTCCTGATCCGTCAATCTGACCCCCTGAAACACCCGTTTCTTGAGATGGAAAAAGGCCGCTCAACCAACTCAAAGACAACGAAGGCTTTTGAACCTCCACTGGGGTCTACCGTACGAAACCACCAAAACACAAGCTAACATGCTAACATGCTAAGTTGAAGCAGATGGTTGGGGGGGGGGAGCTATACCAAAACCACCCTCCAATGCCAAGTTGGGCGCCCAGCTCAGCTTCCTCCCATCGCCCACCAGACCCCCGAAGCTCGCCAACGACGACCCGAGACGCCAGAGCAGAGGCCAGGAAGGACTTCCGCGTGCCCAGCTTGGCGCCCAGGAAGGGGCCCAAGGCCGCGCCGATGCCCATGTACCTCGAAACAGAAGAACCCGCCGAGTCTGAGTCTGGGGTCTACCCGTTTTCAGAAAAGAACAAAACCACAACATCCAAGTCGAAAAGCAACAAACTGGTGGGTTGTTTGGGGGAAACGCCCCAAAACCGAAGTCTGAGCTCTCCGGATTTGTGTGATTGGGCGAAGCTCTCCGTTTTCAAGAATCCCAAGTCGAAAACACTTCGAGTGGTTGAGTGGGGAAACTACCCAAAACATTTATCCTCTGGTTGTCAGGTGAAACTACCACTAAACCCTCAAAACCTGCCCTGATCCCCAAGTTGAAACACGTTGAGTGGATGAGTGGGGAAACTACCACTAAACCAACTAAAAGCAACGAAAAACCCAAGACCCAAAACAAGAATCAGAGGTTCAACATCTTGGATCAAGGACCCCCCCAAACAAATCAGCCGGTATCAACGAATTCCCCCCAAAAAATAAACAGCCACAATTTCGGGGGATGAATAGGTGGCAGGAGGGCGAATGCGCTCCTTCCCCAACACAAGGTTCCTATTTCATGATACGTATTGGCTGTGTCGAAAACTGTTTCACACGGGTTCTGTGATTTTGGGGTGTATCCTGCAAGGGACCCTACAACATAAGCAAAGAGAGCAAATGAAAGAGTTTTGGTCAGAAAATCATGGGACAAACCAACAACACAGTGATAGGTGATGTTCCCCCAAATCCAGGAAGCTTTGCACACATAAGGACCTCCCTCCCAGCTTGAAGGAAACTGTGGATTGGAAGCATAGCGCACCTCAGGATGTGCAACGGAAACCTGTTGGCGATATGAAAAGCAACAGGACACCTCCAGACCCAAACCGGGGAGCAAGGAAACAAGCAAAGGCACTCTCACAAATGGACTTTGTGGGATTCAACACACCATTGAAACAATGGGAGTTCATATGACCACCATGGCTTTGCTAAGGAGTGTCCTCATCTAAATTGGGCCAACCAATGCGTTCAAGGCTTGAACCCAAAGGGGCTTGGTGGCTCTTCCCAAGGAACAAGCAAATGTCTTCCCCCCCACAGGGAACATCGGATTCTGTTTGTGGGCATTGTTGTCCTGAAAGCATTTGCTTCGCGATGTCATCCATGCTTCCCAGTCTTGTCAGGGACTCCAGAAACCTAAAGCCAGAAATAGGGATGGGCTTGAAAACGATGAAAACCACGCAGAACGAACCCCACAACTTTTTCCCAATCCAGAGAGCCTTCACACCCCCCGCACGCCGAAGTTTTAACTCACCCTCCACGATTTTTCCTTCTGCCACGTGGTACGTGACACCGCCCTAGGCAAGAAGGGAATCATAACCCTGCTGGGCTTCATCAATATACCGCCATCCACATTCCTCGCATTCTGCGAGGGAATGCAAGGTCAAGCTCAAAGTGGATGAGCCTTCGACCGCATTTGGCTGTGGCTCAACAAACCGGTGCACAAAAACAAACCCTGGTAAATGGAACCCAAGACCAAAACCTGCGTGTTGCGCTAGCTCTTGAACATTTTGAGCCACAGCCATTTCTTCAAAGATTTGTTCACAAGTTTCCTAGGCAAAGGTGGAAAGCCTGGCTTTCAGGCAGCTGGCTCCCAACTGCAGTGTTCAGCTGTTCTTCCCTCTCAAAGTTCACAGGAAATGAACAAAGCAACAAAAACAAACCATGACGATTCAAAGAAGCAGAAAACTTGTGAAACGAAGAACCAACCAAAACGCAAACCACATAGTTGAACCATTTTCTTTCAGCGTCTTAACTTCATATCCTGAGACGCTCAAGCGAAGAGAAACCCCCCGTGAAAGCACGGAGGCTGCGGATGGGAGTTCAAGGCGATGCCATCCGCTCCTTCCTTAGCTTGAGCACATAAAATCGCGTCCGGAGTGAACTGTCCAAAAGAAGGAATCAAGCTGTTTCTAGGTCCTCCAGTAGAGAGGTTAGAAGAAGGGTACCCTTTCTGCTGTAGTCTATGGGGTTAATCGATCTAGGGGTTGATTCCTTTTCCACTCTTCTTTTCAGCCATCCTTCTTTTCGAAAACCGGATCCGTTTTCCCCAGGTTTCTGGAGGCTTTCTAGAAAGAAGGATCCCTGGAAGGAATGGGGGAGGTGCCCCTAGAATCAAGCTTCTTGTCTGCTACGTGCCACCACCCCCCCCTTTCCACACATCTCTTGCCTATTTCAGTTTCTGTGGGGACCCAGTCCCCTTTACGAGGGCGTCATAGAGGACAAATCCTAGAAATTGGTTTCTCGGCTTTCGGGAGTCGGCCTCATCACTCAGATGCGGTGATGGTACCAAATCTTGGAGACCTTTGCTGAGGGGGAGGGGGGTTGTTTTATGGCAAGGCAAACGGAACGCTAGCATTTGTGCGGTCCAGCCCTGGAGGCAAACCAAAAGGACCATCTTTCCCAAACGGAAGGGGCGGGACAGGCTTTCGAAGACTACCTTCCAAACAACGCCTCATGCCCACTTCCGCGATTTAGCGAAAAATCGAAGTAATGTTGACCCCATATTCATCAACCCCAGTGTATCAATAGGGGGTGTTCCCCTGATGTTTCCCCTCTAAAATCAGGGACACCCCCATGTTAAATACACAATCCCGAGGGCGAATACTGCCCAGTGTCGCACTTGTAGTATGACGGCCCCCAAGGTGAACGCCCAGGATTCACCACCGTCACCTGCCTTGGCATGCGGAAGCTTGGGTGTTCAACTCCCAACTGACAGGCGCTCCAAATCCTGTCCATCTACCGTACGAGTACTCTAGGGGACACGTCAAATTCCGTGCTTTCCAGGGATCCGAATCTTTTCAGAAAACCAGCAGAATCCAAACAGCGATCGGTTTTTGAGAAAAGAACGATGGTTTAAAAGAATGGAAACGGAATAATGCAAACAGCGATCGGTTTTTGAGAAAAGAACGATGGTTGAAAAGTTTTGGAAAAGGAATAATCCAAACAGCGATCGGTTTTTGAGAAAATAACGATGGTTGAAAAGAATGGAAAAGGAATCAACCCCCAGATCGCAAATTTCCATAGACTACAGGAAAAAGTTGGCGCCCTTCTTCTAACCTCACTGGAAAAACAGCGATGGTTGAACAGGAATCAACCCCACAGTTTCCAACTCCTGCCCAGGGCAGTTTCCGACACCCCGGTACCTGACTCCCACCGGTGGTTTGCAACTCCTAGTTTCCGTTTTGTGAGGAGTACCTCCAGACTTTTCCTCCGCCAACTTAGCCATGGCTACAACTAGAAGTACTGAAGTCTCCCATCCTCAGAGAGAAAAGGGGGCCCATGGGCATGGCACTCTGCGAGTTGGGGCGGATGATTGCATCATGTGCCAGCCCTGTGACCGACGACGTTATATATATATATATGTATATATACAATATATATAATATGTATATAATATGTATATGTACATCCGTATGCCTAGATATATCATATATATATATATATCACTATTCGAGCATCACTTGCTTGGTAGTTGGCAACTAAACAATTGCATACCAAGCTGCTCGAAGACGATGTTTCGCATCGGCCGTGCTGGATTGCCCAAGATGACGCCAGGGCTTTGCTTCGGGTTCAAGATCTCGGCTTTCAGCGGAGCGAACCAAGCGATTTCGACAGTGTGAGCTAGTACGCTTCCTCCCACCCAGACGCTTCTGGCTTCGGCTTCCAATGGAAGGCCGCGTCCCTCCATTGGACACCCCAGAGGGGTTTTGGGGTCTCAAATGCTGGCTTGCCGAAAGAAGGCCGAAAATCAATCAGGAGCGTCTGGGCACTAACATAGCACCTGAGGGGCCCTTCAAGACAAAATTTATCTTTCAGGTACACCCCTTTTCCACAGGTGCTATGTTGGTGGAAGAGTAGTCTGGCAATGCGATGCCTTGCTGTCAAATATGTCAAGGGTTCGATTAGTGAGCAAACCACTCAATCTCGAAGGAGTCACTAGGTCCACCCTTGAAAAGTTGCAATTGACCGGCTTGTTCCAATGCAACCGCCACTGATGGACCCTTGTGTAACCCGACCCTTGCGCAACCCATTCCTCCAGCAGACTTCCATGGGAGCCAAATTGAAAGGGACACCCGTCTCTGATTGTCCAGGTAAGCCCCCTCACAAGAAACGGAAGCAACCACTGGACAGGGTCGCCCGATTTCCCAACAAACAGCACGCCAAGAGGACACTCACATTTTTGTTAAAGGGGCCAAAAAGTGATGTTTCAATCAAACAACCCAGAAGAAATCTATGGGTTTGTTTCAAACTCTGGGATTCTATAGTCTTTGCTTCCCAATTAAACCATACCACCCTTGGCATGGCTTTAGAAAACCGGCGGCTTCTTGCAGCCGAACCTAAGAATGAGAACAGAACCAACGAAAACAATACACAAACCACCTGGCAGCAGTGGAGTAAACCAACCCCAAAAGAGTGGCCGGTTTTTCTTTTTTCGGGGATTCCGTGAAGCGGCCTTCACCCTGCGCAGCGTGATGTTCTCCCAGAGCATCGCCAGGCTGGGCGGTGGGCAGTGGGCCTTCAGGGCGGGCGTGCTTGAAGCGCAGGACCCCACAAAAACCTCACCCCCCCCCGTATGGTGGACGCTTGGTGTCGGTTTTTGCAACCTCCTTCTCTTTTTTTTGGTAAGTCCTTGGAAGCAAAAAAGACTTCAAGTGTCCATGGCACGACCCACCCCCAACTTGAGAGTTTCTCGAAGACCCCGACACAAGGCATGCTTCCTCGTGGCTTCCCCCGGGAGTTCAAACCGCCACTGACACAAAGGGGGGTCAGATATGCAGCCACCAAAAACAGCCGCTAACCTTCAAAAGGGGGGTCATATTTCACCAAATTGGGTCCCAAGCCCACTCTTCTAATGGGGGCAAGCAACTTAGGGTTGCCCTTGATCCATTCCAACCTCTGGGCTTGTCTCAAATAGTGGCTTGGAGCCCGGTTTGGTGGTGAAACAGAGGGGAATCCCATTTACCCAATCCACAAAAGCCATGGTTCAAATCCAACTCCAAACCACCAATCCAAACCACCCTTCTTGGGGGATTTCTGATTGTCCGCTTTTTCTCCCGGAACCGCCCCATCTTCACCCCCGAACGCCCCCCACCCACAATTTTTTCCCGGACAAACGCCCCCCCCCCCCGCTGCGTCGAATCCGACGAACGCACGCACGCGTCGACGAGCCGAGCCGAGCCGAGCCGAGCCGAGGGCCGGGCGAAGGGCACCACTGGCCACAGCAAAGAGCAGGCCTCGGGAACGGGAACCGAAGCGGAGCTCGAAGCGCCGCGCGAAGCGGAGCAAGGATCTCCCGGGGGACCCTCGAACGGCCCCAACAAAAATGGGGCGCTGCCCAGACCTGTGGCTACCCTGGATCAAACGCCCCACCCCACAACAAAACAAATGGGTTACTGCCCAAAAGACCTATGGTTGGTGACTTCCTTCCTTGTTCCTTTTTTTGTATTTTTATGGGTCTCAATCTGTTACTGCCCCAACAAATAGGGATTCTGAATTGGACAAGCCCCAGAAATCTGAACACTGCAATACAGTACGTAGATCCACGAAGACTCAAAGCACACACAAAGGCCTACGGATGGTCAGATCTTAGCTGTCCACACACTCCAGGTTGGTGACTTCTCAACTTTTTATAGGGTATAGTTTGAGGGTCCACAAGGGTCTACACCTTCACAACCCAGAACAAACATGGTATGGGCTTGCGAAAACCTGACTGCGTTGCGCAGCCCCAAACCTCAAAATGAACGGCACCAAAAAACCAACAACTTGCCGAAAGCAGTGAAACCCCTTGCACTTAGGGGTTGGTCAATACTCCGTGAAAGGCCCCAACATGGCGATGGGTGTCTTTTTCCATTTAGTAGTGAAAGTCATCTTTTTTGGTGTCTCCCCATGGTTACCCCATTTAAAGGGCCCTTTGATCAACCCCAAAATGTCTGGTTCATAATTCGGTTCTAAGGTTCTGGGGTGGCAACCAAGCACCGCCAGCAACCACCGCACCACGGCACTTTGAGCACACCAAGCAGCCTGCAGCCTGCAGCAGCGCCAAACAAGCACCGCCAACAGCACCCTAAGTAAGAACACCACCAGCCGACGCAGGCAATTCCACCAGCACCCTGACAGCATCCCCACTGCCGGCTAACACGCATCCCGAGCAGCCAGTCACCACCAACACCCTGCCGCTCCAAACCAGCACTACCGACCAAGAAATTTCGCTTCGCTTTCGGACAGAAAGGTCCGGCCTTGTAAGAGTCGGCCTCTTGAGCTGGGCCAATCCAAATTGGCACCTGCACGCAAGACTCACTGCAAAGTTTAGCTCCAAGCTCGTCGTAAACACACCGAAAAATGGGCGTTGGTTCTCCTTGTTGGTTTTCGCCCACGCTTCAACGTTCGAAGGCACCGCTCTTGCAAGACTCTCAAGTCGCGCTCGCGCCTGCGATGGCTCGTCCATCGTAATGTCCTCCTGAGACACATTGAGATTCAAACACCCATGCAGGCCTGAGCCTTGCTCACTGCTCGTGTTGGATCTAAGATGGTTTCCACAACTTCTGCCCGGACCCAGGGGTGCAATTACACACACAAGGCCCGCTATACTTACCCCTTAAAACTCCACGGATTGGGGAAGTTAAACCTTTTACGGACATATAGCCCATGGTACCCAAAAAGTTGAAAAGTTGTGTTTTAAGAGGTAAGTATATAAAGGGTGTATGCCCCAGTTCTATTGGTAGTACTAGTTTGGGTGTAGTGGAAACCATCTTAGAACCAAGTGGGCGAGCGCGCTATCTGTGGAGTTCCAGCCAAGCTTCGTAGAGGATGTTTGTGATCTCTCCGCTCGCCTCGGCTTTTACTCGACATCGCGAAGCAACCGAAATATGTTGCCTTTTTGCCGCCCAGCGGCGTTTGGCTCAGGAGTGTTCTGCGACTTCATATAGATTCCTCGAGAGGGGTTCTGGACCTTCAAGTAAAAAGCTTGTAAGCCTTTGGTGTTACAAAGCCTCCCAGCAACCGCTCTTCTACCAAACAACTTGCTGGTTCTCAGCAGGGAATAAACAGGGATTCTCGGATTCTCTGGAAGAAAGTCACAAGGATGGTTCAGTTCGTGGTCGTTCCCTCATTCCCTTCCAGAACCAGCCAAACTGATTCACAAAACCGTCGGGGTCCTTTGAAGGTGTGGAACATGTAGGCATGGCGGATAGTAACGTTCCGCACGCAGTTGTGATAAAGCGTGGGCTTCACCTTGGTACAGTGGGAAGCCTTGGGCCCACCGGGTCCACAGTTGACCATTTCGAAAGGGGAACCTGGCATCAAACAACCAAAAGGGAAACAGGATGTCACTCGAAACGGACGTCACTCAAAACAGGATGTCACTCAAAAGAGGATGTCACTCAGTAATAACAATCAACAATTGCAGCAACACTTTGCTCCTCAGATTACCAGACGTTGCACTTTTGTGGGGTCTTTAGGCTGGTGCTGTTCCTCGGCAAGCACCTGATCACGGGACTTTGCTTCTTCTTGGGGTCCTTAAGCTAGCGTTTCTTTGATGCCCTCTTTAGGCTAGCGCTGTCGTAGGCATTCTGATCAACATTGTTTCCTTGGGCAGGTCGCTGCTCCGAAGCATTTACTTGATCAAAAGCCTTAAGCATCTTTAAACCTTTGGGGTGGTTGCTGTTCCCTGGCAAGTACTTGATCACAAGACTTGGCTTCTTTTGGAGGGTCTTTAGGCTAGCGCTGTTCCCCGGCATTTGCTTGATCACGAGATGCTTGCTTCTTTTGGAGGGTCTTGGGCTGGCTCCGGAGCGATTCCTTGATGGCAAGAATTGCTTCTTTCACAAGCGGCCTTTAGGCTAGAGCGTTCTGAACATCTATGTGCTTGAACACAACACTTTCTCTTGGGGGCCGCTCTTTAGGCTAACGCCTCTTTGCGCTGTTCAACGTTGTTTCCTTTGCAAGGTCCTTAAGCTAGCGGCTAGCGCTGCTGGCGCTGCTCCGGGGCATTTGCTTGATTATGAGACTTTGCTTCCTTGGGAGCCAACGCCAATTGCCCGACCGCGCGGCCGCACCGATGGTAAGCCCAAGCCCGCTGGCGTTCACGTGCTCGATACGGACCTGAGGAAGTTGCCCACACCTCCCAGCCGGGATCGACACCAACTCAAATGCCCAGTGGAGTTCCATGAGAAAAAAGGGCACCTTTTTTTGGTTGGTTGAGTTCAAAGGGGAATCCTTTCCCGAAAAGTTGGAAAAAAGGAAGCAACGCACTGGGCAAAGGAGCCAAACTGGATGGACTTTGGTTTATTGGTCCACTTCGCACCCAGTTGCAGTGGACAAAATCCTGGGAATACTGGGGTGGACCACCTACAGTGGAATAGGATCTTGGGAATACTGGGATGGATCACCTACCAAAGTTGATGAGAACGATGGTGTCTGTTGCTCCCTCAGACACAGATTTGACGCGCTGAATGGTCCGAGTAAGATAATGATCTGGAATGAAGGTGGTCCAGATAACCAAGCAAAGCAAATTCTGCGTGAGTAGGCTCGACGGGAAAACAAAAGTACACATTAGCACCTATTTAGCTTTGATGATCAATATAGAACACATGCTTTCCTTTCTTAGTGAGTCTCAACACATCGAATAGCATCAAGCAAGATCTTAGATACCCCCGGGTCCAGTGCAGCTTGACGTGACAGAGTATGCAATCCGAGCAGCATTTTCTGTGCACTTGGCATTGATGCCTCTGCCATCTCGGGGCTGCACTGTGAAGCAATCATCCTGGTTCCACACATTGCAGTGGTGTATGTAGATGTCCCGGCCGGATACATCAAAACCTTGGCTGGAGTCGCGTCATTGCAACAAAGGAGCATGTTTAGAGGAACCTCCTGTTGGGCGCCACTTTTGGGACCCCCCTTGTTTGGTGGTCTGAAAGGGAACCAAAAGCAAACTACCTACAGGAGTCCCCAACTTTGAGAAGCAGCTACATGGCTGTGGGTTGTTCAAATATAGGTACCCAAAATGGAACCCTGGTACATCCATCGAAAAATTGCCGAAAACCTGTGGGCCCCTGGTGGTTCAATTTTGACCCACACCCATATGACTTCTGCAAGAGGCCGCGTTTCTCTTTCCTTGAAGGACCCGCCCGCTCCCTCGACTCGGCGAGCCACCGTCGGTGTTGAAGGCATCCAAGTTCTCCAGATCATGATCCGGAGCTTTGTCCACCCTTGCCGTCACCGAGCAATGTCGCACCTGCACGGAGACCAAATGGCCGTGGCTCAAAAAACCGGCACCAAAATGGAGCCCTGGCAAGTGGAAACATGGACCAAAACCTGCGCAACCCCTGTTGAATTTTGAGCCACGTCCAAATGTCTCTCCAAATGTGTGTGTGTGTGTGCGTGCTTCTTGAGGATGCCCTTTTCGAGATTGTTTTCAGGGAATCAACAAGGACGACAAGCCTCTTGGGTGGTTCCCTATTTTGACACACGCCCAATTAGAGGTCCTGGACCCGAACCAAGTACCACAAACACCAAAGAGTGACATGCTGGCAGTTTGTGAGCCATGGACAGAACTGTGGGAAATGCCAACTTCTGTGTTACAACAAAAAGGGCTTCCCAAAGACTAACACCCCCAAAAAAGAGGGAGATTGCCTTGTATCACAGAAGTGGTTGGATAAACCCCCTGATCCCACAACCCTGGCCATGGATGTTTTGCCTGTCAGGCCTTGCAAGATAGTCGCCTATCCCAACCTTCAGCCTCTTTTAATCTGATTGACATGTCCTTTTGGGAAAATAGATGGGTTTCCCTGGAAGTTGATTGAACCACCAGGTAAACCAGGACCAAATCAACCATTATGCTGATTGAGTTTTGCGGAACTTTCCCAGGAGCAGCTACCTTGCTGCTCTTTGCTGGCTTCGGGCAGCAAGGGCCAACCCAAGCCAAACATTTTGCACCCATGGGAGCCAAGGCCAAAATATGAGTTGTTAACCCGGTGGATCCCAGGCACGCCACTATTGTAGGCAACCCTTCGCACGTTTCGTTTTCGCTTTTCTATTGGGTGGTTACCTTGGTTTCCTACAACATTTCAGGAAATGGCATCACTGTCTGCCCTGTATCCCAAATGGGCCATCGACTGGAAATTCTGACCACAGGAAGCTGCAACCAGAGTCGCCCCCCCCAACGCCGCATAACTCGCTCGCCTCGAGTCTGGCCACATCCAGTGCAGTGAAGGTCCAGTAAGCGGAGTCGACGAATTGCCTGGGCTCAATTTGAAGGAGTGAGGCGGGTGAGAAACAACTTGCAGGGAATGAGAAATGAAATGACCCTGAACCATCCAACTGGTGTTCCTGCAAGGGAACCAAAGCCTGGGCCTGGAATCATTTCCTTCATTCCTTACTGAGCACCAGGACAACATTTGGGGCTGTCTTTGTTTGGCTGGTCGCCTCTGGTGCTTCAACCGGACACAGGCGAAACCAAAAAGGACGCCACTCAAATCTTTGGGGGTCTTTGAGGCATGCGGCCTTTGGATGGTTTCACTTCGGCTCATCCCCTGGCTTCATTCCCTCAGTCGAGACATGTGGCATGATGGCTCCCCGGGAATGCCCATGGCTTCAAGTCCCAAGCTCCATCGCTCCACCAGCACATCAGTGGCGTTGTAAATGCTCAGCAGCCGAGGCCGGTTCTCCCCATACAGCGCGTACTGGATGTAGCCTGCGGGTCTTCAAAACCTGACATCTGGAAAAACAACCAAGTAGCTCTGGGCCAACAAAAGCATCTTTGGCCTCGGCAAGAGCTTCCAAAGCTCCACCCGGATTCAAGTCAGTTCTGGGATCCAGGGCGTGTTGCCAAGACACCCCACCAAGACTTGCCGTTGCCGTTCAGCGTGCCACCAGCATTGCCTATGGCAACTTGGAACAGCCCGTGGCGTGCGCGCGCATGGGGTTGTCCTTCCGCAACTATCTTGAGACTAGTTTGGTATCTGAGAGAAACCCCCAGCATTGTACGACCAGAACCTCAAGTTTATGTCCAAGCAGTCGATGGGGATGCCTGCAGCAATTGAGAAAGGACAACCCTGCGGCAAAGCACGCTCGTTGTGCGGAGTAAACCGGGCTGTTCAAAACCGAGTGTTGGCCAACCCTTATCCAAAGGGGACCCCTTCTGCAACCTGAGGTAAGGATTCAGGATTGCCTTTGAACAGCCCAGCTAAATGGCCGAGGTGCTGGTCAGAGTGAGCTGTGAGGCGTTGGCAATGTAAAAGGCTTCTTGGACACACCTTGCAGCAAGACCGAGTCTAAACAGGGTCCCTTTAAACGATACACCTTTACCAGCTGATGTCGATGATCCCCTGGCACAAAGTGGGGTGTCCATCGCCCCCAACCCTGCGCAACCTAAGCCATGCAAGGCAAGCGGCTTGGACTTTCTCTTCGGCTGCAGCGGGTTCATATTGCATATGTCGCCCTGCTGTACCGGCCATTTGCTTCTGCCTGGCGACATTTGGCGTTCGATTCGAAGCGTGGCTTGCTGATCAGTTGGTTGCAACGTGGCTTGCAGATCAGTTGGTTGCATGGACAACCCAAACCACCTCCCTTTTCTACATGAAAATAGCTTTTAGCTGGACAAAAACATAGAAAAACCATGTGTTCTCTGGAGACCACGCACAGGGCAAAGCACAGTGCTGAGTTCCCACATGTTCCCATCCACCACACAGCCTGGAAGAAATTCGAGTGTTCCATCCAGGTGGATCGTGACATTGTGAGAGTTCACCAAGCGCACGCCGCCAGCAAGCCAGAAGGTCTTGGAACCAACATACAAGGTGTCCTCAGCTTGATAGTCATGAAATGTTCTTCTGGACCCAGCAAACACGCTCACACACCAAAACACATCTGCCAAAATGATCGATTTTAGTCTTTCCAAGGGATGTGCTTTGGGTGAGGAGGGGTGTTTCGAGGCCCGTTTTACCTTTGGTCAAGCAACAAACAAGAATCGGCCGGGGCTCGAAACCAAGAAACAAACGGGTCCCCAGTAGTTATTTTCCTCGTTCTGAGGTGATTTGAGTGTGTCACCACAATTGGTGCTGTTCTTTCTCTTTTCAGAAAGCACCCCAACACGCGGACCCTAAAACAGGCAGACACGCAAACATGTTGTCGCCCCAGAATGGGGGTTGTCCCTTTGCTTTCCACTCAAAAAAAAGAAGAAAGAAAACTATCCCAAAAGGCCACCCTCAAAATAAAACAACCTTAAAAACATGTTTGCCCTGAAGCTCGCAAAAAAAAGCGAGAAAAAAAAGCGCGTACGCGCGCACACACGCAGAGACAACCCACGAGCGCATGCACGCACCAACCCACGCAGGCATGCATTCAAGGTCTGAGCGTCGCCCGGCTGAAGAGACGCGAGCACCTGGTTCAGCAGCTCCGTGTTTGCCACGCCCGCCTCCTCACTGCTGGGCTTCGCCCCAGCGGCTTCCCAGTCCACCCACCTGGCCATGTGCGGCCAGAGGGAGACGCTCAAAAATTGCCATGTGTTCAAGCAACTTCGGAGGTAGGCTTTTAGCCCCGGAAAGCTGGCTTGAGCATGGTTGCAGCCTACTTGCAAAGTTGGTTGAACACCCAAGTAGGGTGTGCCCTTTTGGAGACTCACGCCTCAAGATGGTGTTCTGCTTCCCTTGTGGTTTTCCTCTAAACCAAGCTAACGGGGAGCAACTCCGTTCAACTGCGCTGACCGTTTAACCCTCTGAATTCCGGGCTGAAACTGAAGAATGCGAAGTGGATTCTGTCCACCCTACTGTAGTGTGAGTAATGCGGGTTGAACCGCCCCGATATACATATATATATATATATTATGATATGATATGTATATATATATGTGTGTATATATATGTATATATATATATATGCGTGTGTTTGCCGTGTTTTGTTTCAGAACCCTTCCCCAGACTGCCCATTCAGCTGCTTCAAGCACCGGAGGCAACCGGGCGGGCGGGCCTGGCAGCAGCGCCCACTGCCAGCGTCAAGGCCCAGAGCGCCATGGCCATCGCGCCAGCCGCGTCTCTTCGGCCCACGCGCGCGAGCGAACGGCCAGTTAACGGTTTTCGCTTCTTCGATGTTTTTTTTTCCGGTTTTTGGAGCCTTTTTTCTCGCCGCGTCGCTGTCAAAGCTGTCTGGGGAGATGCTGTGAGCCGGGTGGGGGGGCAATGCGGAGCGTTCACAGGTGTCTCACGGCAATACCCCCTCCCCCCCTCCCGAAAAAACGAAGACACAAAAACAAATGGGATGAACTTATGAACGTCCAAAGCCATCCAATGCCATCAATTTCTCATGCCAAGCTGCATTCCTTGCCTGGCCGTCCATTTCCCTAACTTCACCGGGTCCTGGCCAGCTCCACGGTTCTTATACCGACCTGACAATTCCCCCGAATGGTTTCCGTCTAGTCTAGTGAGGCGTGGCCAGTTTGAATCCGAAGAAGGAGCCCTGACCAAAAAGGGCCAACACCTCGTTGGGGGACACAATGCTTTCTGTGATGCATGCCAAAGTAGGCCATCCCAAATACTACTTCGTACTTTTTAAGGGGGCAATATCTTGGCCACCCAGAAGATGGCAAACTAGAATCCAGAGTTCCGCAAGACTGTTACAACACATGTACCCTAAATTTCAACACTGGAAAAAAACCGCCACAAGTAAAGGGCGAGCCCTGACGCGCCAAGAATGCAGGACTGTCCTCAGATCCCCTGCTACAAGTTGAACTTTTCGCGGGTTAAATCAACAAAACACGCTAAACTTACCAAAAACATCCAAAACCCTTCAACTAAAAAACCGGACGATTCGCCCAGAATGAGTGGAAACTCCCAAGGGGAACTCCTTCTCTGCTCAGCCCTAGGCTCCTTGGCAAAGAGGTCCGCCAGGGTGACGGAGGCCGGGGCCAGGAAAGCACACACCATGGGCGCTGAAAGCATCCGATCCTTGGATCGGATCGACCGAAGCCGAGCCCAACATTTCCTGGATCTGACCCCAAAAAGCGCTTGACTTGTGGGTCCATATGGAAAATCCGACCTGTTTCAAGAGAAGCAGGCAAGTTGAAGTCCAAAGATCCGACGAAAAATAACCCCGCGCATAAAGTACACCCTCCCTCCCCCCCACTCCCCCCATCCCCACGATTGACAGGCTTGTGAATCAGGGGTCCGCAAACCAGGATAGCCTTTGATGACTTTGGTGTTGCAGGCCTTTCGGCAGGGACTGTTCTAAAAGCCCCGCCTTTTCGCAACGTATGGCCAGCCAAGCCGCAACGAACTGCGCAGC